TGCAGCATCTCCCACGAACTTTAAAATGCGAGAAGTATAAGCCTTGTAACTCTTGTATTTGTAAACATTGATACTACGAATTCTCGAATATTCTACGCCTTATTTTCAAGTGTCTTACAATATTTCCACATAGCAACGTTGATTGGATATTTTCGAACTTTCTAAAGCCTTGTCTATTTGGAATCCTCGAATTTTCTAGAGCTTTAGTCTGTGACGTCATCAATGCTTTCGGCATAGCAACACCTATGCATTGTTGCCAGCTAAGTAAGGTGCTGCGCGGATATTTAAGGAAAGCACGCGACGAACCAGACTCTCTCTCACTCAGCAAACTCGTCGAAGTGAAGACACCATGGCAAGGATCACGGTCTGCCTTAACAGGATTGCCATGGAACATCCTCTCATTTCTCAGCAGGGTCATAAGCCAAGTCGTCACTTGTAGCCGCATTAAAACAACCAATATGCCGTCAATCTCCGCATCATTCAGCGCACACCTTACAGATCCGAAGTATAACCTCGCTCGTGCCCAAGTGCACGAAGCAGTGGTAGATTCACCACGTTGCTCTACTCGAAGAAATGGTAAGAGCTTTACAACCTCTCACTTCCCAGGGTAATCGACCATCAGTGCACTACGTCACGAGGATCTGGAAACTTACAACGTCCTACCTCCAAACGAAGTACATACTAATGCCAAGTGTCAATGTCAAACTGCCTCAGAACCTCAGGAGTTCATAGAATGAATACATCTACAAGAATCATTCCTATATTTGAAAATTAAACAGAATAAACAGCACAACAAACAAATGTGTTAAATATTGAATTAATACGCTATCCCTTCCACTTGCTCTCTCATATCTTAGATTGCTCTCGCACATTTCTCCCACATAATACCTCATAGCCTTTTAGTTAATTCTAAATATTATTTTACGTATAAAGCTGAAAAGATCTCACTAATTTCTATTGTCATGTGTAACACACAAGAAGTACTTGATAATTGATATTTTAAGCTGATGAAATTATAAAGTAAGTTGTATGCATTGGATTATAGTAATTTTTTGAAAATCTTCCTATACTTTTGCATAATATTTTATTTTATCATTTGCAATGGAACATTGGTTAAGATAAATAAAATGTCTATATATTATATTCATATTCTAATCTAGTCTTCAAAGGCCGATATGATTCTCGTTTATTCATAATTTGCAGATATTTCTATGAAATTAGTTAATTTAAATATTTGTATCTACTTAAATTACATGTATTCTTTAATTTTATTCCAATGTAAATACAACTTTTTAATACAATGTAGCACTGCTAAGAATGCAGTAATTAAGTACAAGATATTTTAACTGATTGATTTCATTTATAAATCTAATTTTTAGCAGCTATTTCTAGGTTTTATTATTTTAAGGTTATATTATATCAAAATAAAATTATTTAGAGTGCACATAAATATTTATGATCCAATTTTGATAGATAAAAAATCACATTTTTCTTTATTTTGACAGCGACAGTTTTTGATGCACACCAATTCCAGTTTCATTCTATAAAATGAAGTTTTTACATTAGGATTCTGATAAAGCATTAACTTACATAAGTACACTTGCAGATTACAAATTAATCTATTGAAATCTATTTCTTCAAGAATTTTCTAAGTTACGAATAAATATGATTATTTCGATTTATATATAAATTACAATCTACTTCATAATATAAATTAATGGTTACTGTTTGCATTTTCAGTCACCAGTATGATCGCAGATCACGGTGGGTCGATTAGACAGTACTACCGGTTTAATGACGATGGGGCTAGGGGGGTATGAGTGGGAGGTTAATGCATCAATATAGTGTAAACATGACATATTATGTTACATAGGCTGTTGTTGTTACCGATCGTTATAAGAATTGTTGAGCTCGTGATTTAACAGTTGCTCTTAAATGTAGAACATTGTTCGGTCGTGCAAGACTAGGACTGTGTGATGATACTGGGCATGTATTATTGTTCGTTATGGGGAAGAGAATCGCGTGAGTAGCCTTTATTTAAGCGGTTGTTACAGTGGTGGTTCGTGTTACTAATCTTAGTGAGAATTGTTGAGTTCGTAGTGATTCGGCAGTTGACCATGAGCTATAGAACATCGTCCTATTTTGAAGGAGTCTCTCCGGTTCGTGAATCCTTAGGCAATTGATTCGGCAATGGTTGTTCGGAGAGATTAGTCGGGCTGGTGATTTCTTGAGCGAATACTTCGGCGATAGATTTTAAGGAGCGCTGTCCGGCTCGCAAATGCTTAAGCTGTTACTTCGGCGATAGATATTCGGAGCGTTTGACCGCTCGCGAATTCTGATAATATCGACGCTGTGCCGCAGGTGTGGGAGGGGTCCGAGAAAAGGTAGTGGTGGGGGGGGGGGGGTACCAGACCGTATCGACGCCCTCTGTAGCGGTCTGATTCCCTTAGACGCGTATAACCTTCACTAGTATGACTGGCACTAAATTCACTTGACTTGCTCAACAAGACTGATTTTCTTCGTCGTCTGGTGCTCCTTATATATAATTTCATACATTTAGCGGTATAATTCTTGGAAACTCAAGAGAATTCTCGGAAATCAAGCTTTAGTACGTTCGAGAATCTTCTTTTGTTGCTATGCGGATATAGCACAAGGCTAAAATTAACATCGAGAATTTTCCTAACGAATAATTCAAATATTACGCCTTATTATAGATATAATGTATCGGAATTATATTATAATAAACAATAATTTTTTTATTATTGGGTAGTTCATTCCTGAACAGCTACTGTTTGAGAATGAGAGACTCCGTTTAGTAAGGCAATAAAACATCTGGCAAGTAATATCATGAAAATTATATTTAAACTTTCCTGCTCATAATTATTTGTACTAGTGTCATAAAACATCTGGAAAACTCTAGCGGAACGTGCTCATACTCCCAGTGCAGTAGAACCTAATGGGTTTACTGCCGGGAGAACCCCAAAGTAGATTCAGAACGAATATCAGATATGCGTAAAGCATTGAGTACAAATATTTACTGCAACCCAAAACCCATACGTGCAAAAACATACAATGACCATACGTGCGCACTCGACCTTTAAGACAATGCTTACATTGTTCTTGGCTATGCCACATCTGGTCGATCGCATTGGAAAATTCACCACGCCCAAGCTGACCCTTCTTCTAGCCAAGTCCCAGAGAGGGATGAGGCAACCAAGGAGAGGTGACCAATGAAAAAGGCTCGCCACCTTCCGACACTTTCCCGATTAGCAAATTCGGAACTGAGCCCGGAAGGAAGTGGAAATGAAGGCGTGCATAATCTATTGTGCGGCCCAAGATCAACCTCTGATTGGTTAATTAATAAAGGAAGAAGGGATCCCAAGTGGAGCGGGATCAGTGAACCATTTAAGAAGGGACTACGTAATGTACCCTCACTTACTCTTTCCAAATACTTCTTACACTGAAGGATAAGTCACGACCTACTCTCACGGAGGAGGACCGGAGAGATGAGTCGTTTAGCTAGCTGAGTTTTAATAATAAGTTCTTTCCACTATTGTGAATTAGTGTACAGTTGAATTGATCTCATCAAGACTGGATTGCGTGGGACCTGACCACTTGTGGTCTCACTTGGAGACAAGGAAGAACTGAAGAGTTGCAACATTGCAAGGGAACGTAATAACAAGCCATCGAAGAGAGACTGGAAAATCACGATACACTGCAAGTAAGTCCTTACAGCTAGTACTCATTCTTGATTTCTCGGCTTATGTAGACAGATTCTTGATTTGATTTCTCGGCTTATGTAGAAGACGGACGAATTATAGTCCAACTACGGAAGCTTCTCGGACATACTCTAGAACAAGACCAGCTACAGACGCCACAATGGATTTTCAATCCCTGCAACTATAAGTTGTTCCCGCACAGCTTCGCATAATCTCTATTTAGACTCTCTTACGACCTATATTTAGGGGCAACTGCACACGTGTTGAATTGACACACAATAACATTGCAGTGTTCGATCAGAGCACTACAATCACCATAACCTCTTAGTGATAATATTCAATAAATTATAACCTACTTCTGTTTATAGTAAATATATATCAACACCACAAGATTATTAAGAAATATAAGGATCATTTGTAGTTTCACCAAGGTTAATAATTCCCATTGGAAGTAAAGTAAAATAAATGAATTAAACAGTAATAATAAAGACCTGTGTTAATTATTGAAACGATGCGTTAACGCGTTACTTGCCCGGCAACCCCACACAACATCTAGTAGGTTTTATTGTTCTAAGTTGATTATTGCACGTTTGGCTGACGAGTCAGATTGTGGAAGTATTTTCCGAACAACTAATAAACAGCTTTTTAAAAAAAATCTTCAAAGGATTAATTAACAAAAAATTTATATTTTTTAATCATTCTTGTATTTTGTGAAGCAATTATTGTAATTTGTGTATTTTGTTTAATATTTTATTAATATAATAAAATATTATGTGCATATACCGTTTTATTAATTTAGTGCAGTCATTTTCAATTAATCCTAAGTATTTAATTTATTATAAAAAATTATTATAGTTCCTGTTGCCAATAATATATGGTTACATATTTATCAGTTAAGACAAGATGAATTGAAATTGTAATATTTTAAAATAAGATAGATGAAGCGCATGCGTAGTCTCAAAAATCTTGGAATTATTTAAATATTAGAGTTGAATATTATCATTTATTATTTACTATTTGCTATTATTTCATATTGCTATAATCATATAAGTATATATAATATACTTATATAACATATTTTGTTTATTAAAGTAGCATACGATTGAATATATCCATAATCAAATTATATTAAAAAATTTAATAGGCTAATTTAAAATTGAATTATTTGGTCAATATTTGTCGAAAATATGACACGCGCATACAAATTGTTGAATTTTGAATAATTTATTTGTAAGTAGTATAACTGTTAATTAGAAAAAAAATTATTTCATGTGCCAACTTCATGAACATTCTACATCATTATACTTTCAATTATTTATTTTATTTATATTATACACACGAGATAAAATAAACAGATTTTAATAAGTAATAGTTGCTCTTAAATTTGGCACATTTGGGAATGAAGTATTTCTTGTGAAATCGAAAATTAATTTTCTCTATTTTTTTTAAGTACGTAAAAATTTTTTATTTATGTGTTTGTGCTATATAAATTCAAAACCATTTTCAGTCAACTAATATAATTTAGTTTATTGCATTTCAATTTATATATTTATATATATATATATTTTTTCATTTTATATAGGCATTTGTATTAGTCGCAATTAAAATATTAAACAAATAAATGTAGTTATATGGATTTGGTTTGATTTATGCTTGCAATTGAACGATTGCATGTATGATGTGTGTGTTTTGAACAGTTCATTTTCTTATAAATTTTATAAAAATACTTTTTTTTTAGTTGTGGAACTAAACATGGATCCTGTTTGTAAAATTGAAGCGGGCAGCAGTGTTAATATTAAAAGAACTGATGGTAAAATATTTTTTGTAATGTATTATTAAATTTTTGTGATAAAAAAAATTACATTTCTAGTACATACATGATTTGCTAATTGTTTTTTATTTTAATTGCACAAAAATTATTAATTAAAAATAATTTATATCGTATTGAAAATTTAAAAATCAGATAGAATTTCTAACAAGGTTTAATTAGACTCATATTTCAAAATATTTCTAATACATCCTTTATTTGTTTTGATAGATACATAAAACTGAGGTATAGTTTTAGCATTATTAATAATCAGCTAGATGAACAAATACTAATATTGATTAAAATAAGGTGTTATAAAATTGTTACACAAATAATAAACTTATTTGAATTAACCAATAAGAAACAAAACTAATTCCATTATAAAATATTTGAATACAAAGTTTCAATAACGATTTTGATAATTTATTAATATATATATATTAATATTAATATAATATTAATATAAATATTAATATATAATATTAATATTAATATTAATATATATATATATATATAAATTGTGACTGCATAATAATATATTTTTTTATTTACATGTAAATTAGATGCAACTAATGAAATAAATTTTAATTGTAACTACAAAAAGTTGTAAATGATAACCGCCTCAACTATAGTTAGCAAAAATTTTTAAATTCATGAAAAATGTATAGTGTAATTAAACATTAATCTTTCTAATTATATATTTTCAAATCATTTTATAACAAAATGAAATAAAATAAATTTTTTATATTGATGATAACTGAAAAAAATCACTTAAAAAATTGACATAATTTATTTAGTTTTAAATGTTTATGGTTGAATGAAACACAAAATCGCTGTTATATAGAAAATTAGTTATGAAAAGTAATAAATAATTTTGTTTAATTTTTTTAATAATTGTAATGTTAATAAATTATCAAAATCGTTATTGAAACTTTGTATTCAAATATTTTATAATGGAATTAGTTTTGTTTCTTATTGGTTAATTCAAATAAGTTTATTATTTGTGTAACAATTTTATAACACCTTATTTTAATCAATATTAGTATTTGTTCATCTAGCTGATTATTAATAATGCTAAAACTATACCTCAGTTTTATGTATCTATCAAAACAAATAAAGGATGTATTAGAAATATTTTGAAATATGAGTCTAATTAAACCTTGTTAGAAATTCTATCTGATTTTTAAATTTTCAATACGATATAAATTATTTTTAATTAATAATTTTTGTGCAATTAAAATAAAAAACAATTAGCAAATCATGTATGTACTAGAAATGGAAAATGAATTATAGTATAGCAGATGCATAAAAATAATATAAGTATATATTTATTATATTTTTATAACATCATTTTCTTATTTTTTTCTTCATCCAGTGTTTTTCAATTGTTTAGTTAATTTTATCGCAGTATTTCAATGAATTGTATATAATTTTTTAATAAATTTTATAATAGGAGTATATGGGCTATTCTATTTTATAATAATTTTTTATTTTATTTCCTTATTTAAATTAACCTTTATCACGTTTTCATTTTATTATCTATCTTCTGTGCTGTATTATTTTGTTTTCGTTGCTTTTTTTATTTTCTTAGTATTCTTGGAAATTTTTTTCATTGTCCTACATATTTCCTTCTTTTTTTTTATTCTGTATATATATACATTTTTTACTAGTGTATAGATTGGTGTTAACTCATATAAGCTTTTCTTTTATCTCTAGAATATCAAATGTTTATTTTTCTTTTATTGTACTCAAGTTACAATAAGAAAATGTAAATGTTTAATCTGAATTTTGAAACATTCTTGAAAAGTTCTAGAAATTAAAAACTTAAAAAATTTGATGTAAGTATTGTTTTAACTTGAAAAAGCAAAGAATTGTTTCTTTCAATGTTTAAAGTATTAAAATTTGTTAACTTTAAAAGTTACTATTTAATCTGTTAAGAAGAGAAAAGGTTAAATATGACTTGCAAATCAGGGAATGATTACTAAACTTATTTCATTACTAAGCTATATTTTTAAAAATTAATATTGTAATGCTGTATATCAAACGTGTAATTTTCATAATTGATTAAAATTAAAATTGTTCAAAATATTGTAGTTAATTCATTGTACATAATTCCAGATTTATATTTATTATATTTGTTAATTGTAAAATACTTTTTTTTTTGTATTTTTTACTTTCATGTTTCTTATTGCTGCTCTATATTATTTATTCACTTTTTTTATGCTTCTTTCGTATATTTTTCATTATTTACCAACATTTTCTGTTTACTTACTTGTTGCTTTCTACATGTTTATTCTAGCTATTCTATCTTCGTTTTGAGTCTTGTTTGATAATTTTTTCTAGTAATTTTTCACATTATTTTCTTTGCATATAAATTCTTGTACTATTTTACTTATATTTTTTCCATGTATTTAATTAAGTTTATTTTTTTTATTTTATAGTTTTAAAAAGTAAATATTCTTGTTTTTTCTAATATAAAATTGTCTTTTTGTATGGAATCTATCAATATTTGACTATATGAATATATACTATTAACCAAATATTTTTGTCCAATTTATTATATTTCTAAATATCGTTCTCTTTGTTTTTATTTTTCATTGTTTGAAATGTTGACATTCTAATTGCTGTCAACCATGCATTAAGATCATAATACATATTCATTTTTATTACTTATTAGTCCCTTTCTTGTTTATGTCGTTTTTCATTGAAATTTTATTTTATGTTTTAATGTTTATGATAAGAATTGTATAAAATTTTATATTATATACTATTATAAATTGACAAAATATAACAAATATTAAACTTGTGCAATTTTTTATAAGATAAATAAAATAAATTAATAAAATGAAATGTAAAACATTATCGGTAACACATAATTAAAGAATAATTAATGACAATGTGCAGTGTGCGTTATTTATATAATTTTAATATTAGATTGTTATTTAGCAAAAGAAGTGAATAATTTTTTAAATATTCAAAAATACATAACTTATTTATTAGATTTAAAATTAATATCATTGACTTAATATTAGTTCAAGTCTTACATACAGTATGAAATTGATTGGTACTGTTAATAATCAAATTTTTATAATTGATTCCCCACATATTTATTGGTTTAATATTACATAAAAACTACTAAAAAAATACTAAAAATGTAAGTATGAGAGGTATTTAATATAATTCTTAGTAATGTTGTGCATAGGTATCAATTTATAGGAGAGATTTGTGTTGCAGATAAAAACATAATATTTATGTAATTACTATATTTTATTTGATCAGATATTGATATAACATTTTTTTGTTTTCTTTTATTATTGCTGATTAAGTGATAAAACTATTGAATTAAATAATCAATATATATATATTAAAAAAAAAATCTACAGAATACATATGAGAATATTACATATAAAAATAACAAATTTTAAACTTCCTAAAATTATCTATACTTTTATATATTTTTGAAGCTCATAATATAACAAATTTCAATTATAAGAATTTAATACTTCTTATCTTAAAATACATTAGAAATAATAGTTTTAACCTAGTTGTATTATTCTAGTGTTTATGAAAACAATTTTCGTTCAATTGATCACTATAACAGTATAACATTAAAATAAAATAATTTTGTAAAACCAAATACGTCATTTATAAAACTATTTTTAAAAGTATTACAAATATTGGATTACAATATTTAAGTCAGTATATTATTGTCTTCTATTTTTAGATATAATAAACATGTTGAATAATAAACAAGGCTCATTCAGTGATAGAAAATAAAATAGAAAGAAGACAGCAACGAAGTGAAATAAAATACCCATGATCGGGTGACTATGGGCGATTAAAATGCGGGGAAAGGTAAACATTGTTAAGTAACAATCTGAGAACATTTATAAATGGTCTACGAAAAATTATGTGGGATTTTTTTTTTTTAATTTCATTTTATTCTATAAATCGACCATTGGCTTCAACGGTAGTTTCTTATTATAGTTGTAATATTTATTAATTATTGATTATATAAAGTTTAAATATAATATCAAAATATATACAAACATATTTTAAAAAACATTTATATAGATTGTAATTTCCATTTTCTTCCTTGTTACTTTTAATTAATACACATTAAATCTATTAAATTAGAATACAAATATTTTATAATATAGTAAATGTGTTCATGATGCTTTAAATTTTAAGTTTTAAAAAATAATATATTTTTGTTAATAATAATGGCATAGATTTGTTGACTGACTTTGCCTATTAATTTAATTTAATTAATTTAATGTGATAGTTTACACATTTTCGAGCTACAATTTACGTCCAAATTATGATGTATCTTATAGAGGATTTAAGTAGTTGATATGTAATACTTACAAAACTAAGGTAAACTGTATGTAATAGTTTTTATTAATACGATATATTCGCAGTAGCTAGTCCTATATTGAAAGAAGATAATTCATGAGAATCAACTACATTTTTGACACTATATTAGTTTATTTAAACTATATTAGAGAGGCATCATACAACTATTTTCGTTTCTTCTTATTGACCTACGGTAATCATACTTCTGATCTGCCTTTCTTAAATCGTATGGATAGTTTGAGCCATTTTTGAAATTACCAAACAATTCATAAGTATTCTATCTTCGTGGAAATTCTCAAATTTTTTTTAACAAATTAAGAGTGGTGTTTAAATTAATATATGTATTTAATTTTTATTGTTTTGTTGGGTTTCAGGACGAGTTCACTCTGCTATTGTATCAGGTGTAAATTGGGATCAACACAGTGTTACTGTGGAATGGTTTGAAAAAGGAGAAACAAAAGGAAAAGAGGTACAATAAAAATTTGAATTGTATTCTAAATTATAATATTATAAATATTATACTTATTTAATTCTACATCACTATTAATAAAAACCAATAACATCTAAGCAAATTTTATATATGATTTTTATCTTTAAATAAGATTATAATGCAAGTGTTATATTCCTTCATATTTTAATATTTCATCAAATGTAATTTGATATAATATACTTAATATAATATATTTATTTATAATTTTAGAAATTATGTTTTAATGTAGTTTTAAGTTAAATAGTTCTTCTAAGTTTCTCTCTTTATATACATATATATATATATATTTCTTATAACTTAAGAGATAATCGGGAAATAATGCATTGTACATTATACATCAAATTAAATCATAATTACACTTTATTGTTAATCCATAATGTGTAAAGTATGAGTTGACTTTTATCGAATCTATCATTAATTTTCCTTAAATCATCAATTATGTAGATGTATCATGTAATACAGTATTTATAGTTTGAGTGTGATTTCGAGTCACTGTACTTTTTCATTTAGGTCTAAAAATTAAGTATTTTATAAATACAAATAAATTTTTTTATTTAATATTTCATTTATTTTATAATATAAACTTTATATAATCAACACCTACAATTTTATTACATAGTTTGATTCTCAAGGTTTTATTGTCAAATGATATAATCATTTTTTATACTTTATACTTTGTACAGAGATGCTACAATTTATTGCATTTAATTAATTTTTTATTTTTTAATTAAAGTTCTTTCTGTGATTTATAATAAATACTAATTAATAATTTTTTTTTATAATCTTCTATTTATTAAAACAAATATTCTAACAAATAGTAGACTGAAAGATTTTTAATAATGTATCTGGAAAGTAATCATTGAATGATGTTATTTTAAAACTAAATGAATAAGTATGCTTGAGCAAATAGAAAATTAGAAAAGAACAAAAAAATTATATTCTCTCAGATCTACTTAAAATGTACTCACAGAATTTTGTTTACTTGATGTATTTTAAGTGTGTATAATTCTTTTCAAAATTTTCATTGAAGATTTCAAAATTAGGTATGATTAAATATATCAGTAAATTAGTTTAAGCAATTATCCATTTAAATAAAAATTATTTAAAATAGTTTATTTATAAAGTAAAGATATTTTTGGTAGATATGTTTAATAAAAAAACTACATCTTTTCTAATTTTAGATGTATATTTATAATTCAGATTGAAATATTTCTTATTGTAAAAAGATCACATGAATCGTATTTGTTTTAATAAAAAATCATTTAAACATTTTAACGTTTAAATTAATTTATCTTTTAAATATTATTTACCATTATATATTCTAACATTATTAGATTTCAAATATTTTTTATATTTAATTCTATATATTTTTAATATTATATTGAAATAACATTTCGTTAAATGAAATTTTTTTAATTTACATATTGTATATTAATAAAGATTAGCAGTGAAGTGTATATTTATTGAAGAATTAACGCTTAAAATATAATTTTTCTAATCTTTGATACCTTATCTATTTTTGTTGTAGGTTGAAATTGATGCAATTCTTTCTCTGAATCCAGAATTAAACTTCAAAAACGTTCCACCATCATCACAAGCCAGCAGCCATATGTTGGCTTCAACTAAGTCCAGGGTAAACATATTTTTATCTATACAATCTAATTTATTTTATCTAATTTATATCTATATATTTGAAGAATTTTGTTTATATTTCATTAATTTATATTTAAATTTATTGTTTATGAAAATTGACTTCATAATAATATAAAATTGCCAGGGTAAGATGTATATTTCATCAAACATTTTGTTAGTATTCATTAAATTAAATAAAAAATATGTTCGCTGTTAAGAAGTACGGCTGTAAAAAAAATTAATCAAATAATTTATCTATTATCAAAATTTCAAAAACTATGGAAAAATCTCATTAGAAAACTTCAAAATTTAACCTAAAATAATAGAATTAATTTATATTATTATCCAATATTAATACATTTCTGAAACTACAATAGAACAAAATAATATCAGAAGGCATTAAAGAAGCATTTTACATTTTTATATACAAATGATTTACATTTAAATTTATTATAATTTATTATAGAGATTATTAAGAGTAATTACAGAAATATTTAATGAAATATTAATATACTTAATATAATGTTTCACTTTAATCAATTCAAAATAAAATTTATAGATAAATTAAAAATATGTACCTTATATATTATGACGAGAGTGTCTAGGATAATTTTACTTCTTTTAAAATTATTGGTTATTTATCGTATAAATCAAGTATTTTGTACAGCAGCTATTTATTTACAATTTGAAGTATTGAGAAAATACTACAAATATACTTCTATCATTGCATCATAAATTAATAAATTTTTTTATTAATAAAAAATATCTATTCATATTTATAAAATAACATTTTTTTATATTTTTCAACGTTGAATGTTAAAAAAATAAAATTTTTTATTTGCTATTTATATTATCAACAACAATAATGTAATTTTTTGTTTAGTGAAAGTACTTTAAATATTATCTATTAGAATATAAGGAGTATATTTTTTGTCCTATAATATTTCATATGAAATGTTTTGCATCATTTAAAATGTATTATGGGTATAGAAATAACTTTTAAATTAAATTAAACTATAATATTTTTTAATAAATACAATTTAAGCAATTAAAATGTTATTTAAAATGATTATCAATGATTTACATTATATCGCAATATATTTTAACAATTAGAATTGATTTAAATTGAATCGTTTTTTCTTTTTAATGTTAATAATGTGATTTTGTACAATTAATCAAATGCAATAAATTAATAGGCATCATTATAAATTTTAAATGTAAATATTTTAAGAAAATATATATATCTATAAAGACCTAACATTGAATTTTGTTTACAATTTTTGTTTAAAGTTTTTCAAACGAAATATTAGTTCATTCACATTTGAATGACATCAACAAATTTTATTAATAAAATAAAAAATTTAGTTTTTGATTGCATAAAAAATTATTAGCTTAAATATTTCTATAATTTTTTAAATATAATTATAGAATTTTACTCAATTATATTATGATCTTATATATATTAAACATTTATTATTATAAAAAAAAATTTTAATATAAAACTGTGATAAATATAAAAATGAATGAAACAAAATATATATTGAAATAAATTTAAGATAAATGAAATTGAATAAATTCGATTAATTTTATTTATTGAGGTAAGTAAAGTTCAATTTACTTGATTTAATTAATTTTTAGATGTAAGCCCCTTTAAATGTGAAAGACACAAGAAACAACAAAACAAACAAAAAAGCTAAATATTGAATATAAAAATTTAAATCTGTGTAATAATTAAGTAATGAAAGATTTTTAAATTAGTGTCAAATTAGTGACAAAATTTTTTCATATTTATATTGATTTTAGATATAATTGAGAACGATAATGATATATATATGTATATTATGTCTATGTGTACATGTGCGCTCGCTTGTGTGTAAATAATAAGGTAATCAATAACAAATAAATTTATATATATTTAATTTTACAATAAAATAACTATTTATTATTAGAGTACTTACACTTTAATAATAAACGTAAAACTCACAGATTTTTTACATTGCAAGTGTTCGAAATTGTAAGAATATTCCCAAGTCATTAGACATCTGGAAAACTAGCTATTAGAGTTCCAAAAATCAAATCGTTAAGCATCCGGCTAAAACATGTCATACAAAGTTGTAACAAACAAGTCATAAAAATATAAGCAAAAAAACAAAAAGGGATATTAAAGGCAAGACTGCAACGTATACGCTGTTGTCAAACCCAGTTACACGTGGCTCGGATGTAAAACAAGAACGCGCCAAAGAAGTCCTCTCATGATGGGGATGCAAGTAAGAAGCGCTCTGATTGAAGCCGCCAATAATGAAAGAATCAATTCGATTGGAGACACCCAAAAAGAAGCGCTCTGATTGGAAATGCCAAAAAAGAGGCAATTCGTAAAGACCACGCGGTGGCCGAGAATGCTTTTAAGAAAGACGCCGGCAAGGCGCACCAGAGTCTCTTCTCACAAGAGAAGCCAGCAAGGATTCTCCTCCAAAGGAACGCCAATTAACAAGGATGTAGACATACACAGTAAAGGCCAATTAAGAGGCAAAGCCTAATCATATCCAACTCATAACATGTGCAAGATAAGTGCAAATCAAATCATACACTCGCAGCAGCGCAAGACAAGGAAAAGGGAACAAGAAAACAGTGGTGTACAAAGCACAACATAATCATAACCTATAAGGAGCCGCTCGAGGCAAATTGAGCAAACAATACGAGGTATAGCCAGAAAAACACAAAACATAAACTAGAAGCTGCCGCACGAGGCATAACCTGCAGACATCACTAGCTGCTATCAAGAGCACAAAATCTGCAAAACTCACAAGGTAAAAGTTCCATTCCTTAATAACGATAATAATACACAATATGCCTCACAAGGTAAATAACTGTAGAGCGACCAAGAGCACACAATCTACAAACGCTTAAGGGGCAAGTTTAGTTCCCACAAGATAGACTTACGAAACGCCGTACGGGGCAATATCTGCAGATTAAGATGAAGTGCCACCAAGAGCACACCTGCAGAACCTTCAACGTAAGCAATAAGACAATACCAAGGCAAATTCAAGCTACTGCCACGTGCCACTGCACAAGGAAGCACGGGGGTTTACGACCTTATTCTTCTACGTGTATAACTCCACCACCACGTGCATTACATATAAAACAGAAAGTTACGCCCTTCTACCTGTACATGGAATGCACATTACGCTCTGTGGCAATAGCAATACGAAACTCAAGAAACGAAGGCATTCAAACATCAACTAAAAATCATTATAATACAACTAATGCAATTATCGCAATAAACTACTACAAATATTAAAACTATTTATTATTGAGTACATGCACTATCCTGTTCACTTGCCCGCAATCCTCCCTTCCACCATCTGGGAGTTTACACCTAACTCTAGATATTTGGCCCTCCTCGCCCGATACTCTATTTTTAGACAGTAAGTAATACTTAAAATCATTGTAAATTTAATTTAAATATTAATTAAATTTCTTTATTTTAATGGTTGGTCAATTAAAAGTATTTAGTTTAGAAGATATTCTTAAATCGGGCATTTTTTTCATTTAATTTTTATTTAAAACTAAATTGAAATTAATTTAAATAAAGATAAATTAGATATGGAATTATACACAGTAATTAAACAAACTATTGTTATATAATTAGAATGTTTTTAAGAAAAAATTATGAAAAACTAAAATCTTATTTAAACAAAGAAATTAATAAATATTAATAAGGATTAAATTAATAAACATTCGTCCATCCTTAATTTGAAAATGTTGTAATCGATTTAAAAATTATGATTTATAATATAAAAAAATACTAATAAAGTTTCATGTTAGTAATGTAGACTTGATATAAAATAATATAAAATATAGGTATTGATATCAGTTGCGAGCTAAATGAAATAAAATTTTATGATTAAATACAAAAAATTTGTTGTTACTACTAATTTTTTATGATATTTTAATATTTAGATTAGTTGTTTAAAATTATACCTGTACTTTAAATTAAAGTTTTCAATTTATCATATTTTATACTCAGGAAAATTTGCACAATTGGTTTGTTTTTTATTCCTTTGTTTTGATTTTTTTTAAACTTTGTTGAACGCAGACAATAAAACAAGGTAAAAGGTTTTCCAAGATGAGTCAAATTAATACTTGTTTTTATTAAACTCTTAAAATATGATTCTGTATATGATTAATTTATTTTATGTTATTAATTCCATCGAATCTTTATAGATTTGTACAGTAACAATTATTATTTTAATAATATTTTTGGTGTAGAAAATGGTTCTGTGTAATTAAAATTAATATATATAATTAGGTTATAATTGATTTCATATAATTTTTTAAAATAAAAATGAAGTAAATTTGTTATATTCAAAGTGATAATTGCCACTTAACATTTTTGTGTAAGTTGTTTTTTATGTAATTTCAATTTTTATATAAATTCAATTGAGAACAATGGTTAATAAATTTGAATAATATAATATCAGTTTTATTAGTTCAACTGCAATACATAATTATTTCATTTTTTAAACAAAGTCGTGAGAACAAACTAATCAAATTGGTTTATACAGGTTTTTCGAGTAACTTGATACTTTAGTATATATAATTGTTTCAAATTAGGAAATAAATTATTTTAAAATATTTAATTGAAAATATTGATAGATTAAGATTTGTGAAAATAAAAATTTGATGAATTTGAAAGAAAATATTTTGAAAATAGAAAAACAATTGAGAAAAGGAAATTATTCAAACGTTAAAACAGCGTTTTAGAAAAATTAAATCGGAATAACAATTATATTATTTTATTTTATGTACTTTTTAATTTTTATTATGTATGTAGAATTATAAATAGTAAATTTAATTATGTTAAATTAAACCAATTGTTAAAAATATTCGAATAAATAAGGTTTTCTTATTAATAATTTGAATATATTTTTTCAAAAAATAATTACATATTAGATATTTTAAAATATTCTTTAAATTTTACATTATTAATATTCTTTGTTCCATTCAAGATTGTACTATTTTCTTAACAAATAATATTTGAAAGGATATAGTATAATATACAGTTTGATAACATTTTCATTTATTTGTACGTTTTATAATTCCTGAAAATACTCATAACGTAAAATAGAACATTTTAATTACAAGTCTTATTTTCGTTCAGTTTAAATTATTGTTTAATTTTTTTAATAACTGATAATAATTATTCTAAGCGCATGTTTGAATGATTTCACAGTATACAAATATTTTTGTTTCAGGCTCTGGAAATTAGTAGTTATCTACGAAGTAAATCTATTTTACAGATAAATGATTGTGAGAAATGACAGAGAGTTGATGTGGAATTTGAATGAATTAAGAATGTTTTGAATAAGATTTTTATATATTTATTGTAAATAAACGTAATATAACGAACTAAAATATAATTTTCTTTTTTTTTAAATAAATTGGTAATGAGTTTTTAACATAACATTTATATATTTATATAATTGTGTTGAATAAAAAAGCATATTATACTAATGGATAATCCATAAGCAAATATGATGCCAATAATAAATATATGGCTTGTTATTGAACTCTTTCAAAATATATCATAATTATTAGGTACGGTTGATTTACTTACATTGAATATATTCTATATTCCCACGGGGCATATTTCTTTAACTTTCTTCAATTTTCAAAGTAAATATTCTCTAAACTGATCCCACTTTATCAGTTTAAAAACTTAATTTATATTCTCATTAAAACATTAAAAAATATATTAAAAATTTGTTTAATGTAATAATTTTGGTAGCAAAATATTAAATAATAAATAATTCATTAATAATGATTTTAGTAGCAATTATTTAAACAAATTTATTGGTTTTTGTTTTGCATATCTAACTCTTCTCCAATTTTACTGTGGATATCTTTAGATAAATTAATCTTTTATCCATATCAATTATATTTTTTATCGATCTTATATTTAAAAATAATTTTCATAGTTTTTGTTTTATATTGCTTATTTTTCAACTACGTATCATTAATGCTCTTTATTTTTTCCTGCTTAGTGATTGCAAAATTAATTAACGAAATAATGTTTTTATTTTAAATAAATGTTCATAATTTGTAAAAAATAACGGTGATGATAACCACCTAAACTGTCTTCTTAAATTTATTGTAAATATTTCATTACTGAACATTTACATCATTTTATTTAATAATTCTATAAAAATTTTAAATTGTTTATTCTAGTATCTTTTAATTTTATAACCTTATATATATATAAGTTTATAAAATTATATATATATACATAGTAATTTATTGCACAACCATAAACTATAAACAAATAATTTAGTAAGAGTTACACGATATTAAATAATGATTTATTTAAGACCCATACAGTTGAAACAAAAAATATTAAAGATGAATGTTAAATGAAATTATAAGATACTTTGATGATTTGTTATTTATAATAAACTAAATATATCATAATAATATATTTTTATTTATTAAAGTTTGGATATATGTATTTAATTTAAAAATGAAAGCGTTAATTAAAATCAAGAATTCATAAATCATTCAATATTTTTAAAAAATATGTGTATATTTATTCTTTTATGATTTTTATAATTAATTTTTTTTATTATTTTTTTTATTATATTATATATATATATATATATCTCGATTTGAAATATTATAATTGTGTGTATTTATGATTATATTAAGTTAATAAAATTATAATTCTATCAGAGGAAATACCTTATTGATGATTAATTGGTATTACTATTATCTTATATTTTATATAATATAATATATGGTATTAAGAATATTAACCATCTAGTTACATATCATTGTTAAAATTATATGTGATATTTAAATAAAAAAATTTATGGGATACTGCAGAAATTTTTAACCAAATATGTAATAGAGTAAAATCCATAACTACATAATATTTTTGGCTCTCTATTATTCAAGTACAATAATAGTATGTTCTGCAACATTAATTTTAATTTACAAATAATTGATCATAATTAGCATAATTATTTTATATAAATATCGTAATTGTAAATAAAACAATCATACATACACTATTTTTCAATTATTCATTTAAGTCATTAGAGTTTGATTAAATTTTATAACATTTAAGTTTTCTGGAAATTTTTAAATCAGATGATATATCCAAATACCTATTTTGAATAATTACATTTTTTATTGTTCTTTAATAAGAAATCTTTACACAAAAAAAATTATATTATTATTAACTAAAGTTTCATTATCAAACCAATTATGAGTATTATTTATATAAAATTATTAAAATATTTTGTAAAGAATCAAAAGAATTATAAAAAATGGAAACAAGCAAATTAAGTACAAAAAATAATAATAAAAAAATAAAACGTAAAAAAATATTAAATATAAAACTAATATAAAGGAATAATTTGAAAAACGTAAAAATTGATAAGAGGAGTTTCAGATATTAGATTCATTAAAAATAATAGAATAGATATTGTAATAATAGAATTTATATTTAAATATTTAATCTTAGTTTCAATCTAAATTAGTCTTAACAGCCTTGATATCGTTTTATAAAATAATTATAGAAATGATAAATGAATCCTCTGATATTTATAATAATATAAAAGAGAAAATTTTTTTAATAAACTATACTGTTTAATTATAAAAAATATAGATATTTTTTTTTTATAATATAATTTAAGGAATATTTTACATGATATTATGTCACTGATACTATAATAATTATACTTGTTTGCATTTGCTATAGTAGAAATAAACTATAGTAGAAAAGTGACATATGATTATATGAAGTACAAAGATCTATTAAAATATATTAACTTCGTAATGCAATACTAATCTAATTCGGGAAAATTTCTACCATAATCCTTTAAATAATCTCGAAAAATTGACAGTTAATTGAAAGTTTTTTTTTATGGGTAAAATACATGATTCATGCTCAATGATACATATTTTGCTTGTAAATATTTTGTCATTACACTGTAAAGGTATTATGAATTAATTTTGATAAAAGTTAATAAGAATTTATAGTGGATGACAGAATTTATTTATTTTAAACAATCATTTTGTATTGGTCTAAACAAATATCTGCATGTGAATCTTTTATCGTTAATAAACCAGGGAGATCAAACATAGTTTAATAATGAAATGTGGCACAATCTGACGTGTACCAGGATTCTTATTAATAAATGTCTAAAACATGAAATTTTAATTTAGTACCTTTTTTGAAAAATAACTGGCAGTAGTGTAGTTCTGAAAATAATAAAAACTACCTTGCTATTTATACACGTTGTACTATATTTTCAGTATAATAAAAATTTCATGACGATAATTGATTTTAAGTCATTAATTTAATTCATTTTTTAAAAGAGAACTTCTAAATTTATTTCCTCTGTTCAGCATTCGTAGTGTTATGAATATAGTATGTTAGCGAAATTTCCAAGCATTTTATAAAAAATTTAACAGGAAAAGATATATTTTAAAGTATAATGGTGTTGGTTTATATGAAATGATGTTAATTTTAAAGAAAATACCAACGAACTGGAGTCAGATCAATATCTTTCTACTACATAATTCAAGTTAGATTCAATGTTCAGATCAGCGAAAGTATTAATTCTTGTTTTCTATTTATTCATATTATATTATATGACTTGCAAAATAATGTAGTATCTGAAATTGCTTATAATACCTAATATTCTTCTTAACTTATGTAAGGACGTACGTTTTAACATAAATGTACAGTTATAAAATTATGAAGCAATATAATTAATTATAATTGCAATTATTTAGAAGGAAAAACTAAATTTCTAATGTATTTATGAGCTTTTTGAATATTGCAAAAATTATCTTCGATATGAATTTTATTTATTTCATTAAAAAATTCAATAATTTATTGATCATATGTTTATTTATTTTTCAGCATGCTACTAAACCATCTATACCTGTGAAATGTGAGTTTTTAAAATATTATAAAATATAAATGTATAAACAAATTAGATAATATTTTAATTAAATCTAACGGAGCAAAAAGAACATTTTTAAATATAAAATATTACTAATAAATATTTTTAAAAAAATATCAATAAATTGTTACTTTTCGTTTTGTGATCGAGTTCGATAATTATTCGAGTAACAGTTGAAAGTAGTCGAATATTACACTTTCATCTGTTCATGTGCGAGCCCGAATGATAATTTTTTTAGTCTATACCATCTTTATTGAAATATTAGTATCATTTCCGTAATTCTTTCTTCCCTTTACTTCTGTACTCATCTTATTAAGTTTTGGATTAGATAAAATTTGCTGTACTATTCATAAACATACGCCGATATTATATATTTTGTAGACTTAAAAAGTATCTTCATATTTTAATATAGTTCAATCAATCTTATATGATAAAATTTATTAATTTTGTATTTCAATTAATAAATAAAATAAAATAAAAGGAGATATTTGTAAAGTGCAAATATGGTGAAAAAAAATAATATAAAAAATTTTCAAAGATGGACCTAATAAGATAAGCGATAACCCATGTTTTTATTACATTATCTCAATTGAAACCACATAAAATATTTCCTGAACATGAAAAAATCTGATGAAACATATATTACACGAAATGAACAGAAGTTGATTATATTACGATATCGTCTTTCTACATTAATATTATAAACTTTTTAAACAATATTACTATATTTATAATCTGATTAACCAGTTTTAAATATCTGAAGAATCGTATAGCTATCGTGTACACAGCATGTATTGATGAGAAAACATGCATAAATAATATTTTTACAAAAAATTCTCATTACAACATATTCATATACAGAGAAAAGGAAGAAGGACGTAGATACATATATATATATATATATATATATATATATATATATTTATGTATATTAATAGAAATATATGTTTTAGTAAATATTTATTGAAAAAATTATTCTCACTTTATTTTATGTAAATAATTATTTATTATTAATATTTAATTTTGGAAATAAATCTAATTAATGTTTAATTATATCTTAAATTTTTTGTACGTGTCATTTTTTGACTAATTTGCTCTTCTTGTAAAAGCTGTTTATGAAACTTATTAACTTGATTTAATGCTTCATTTAACATATCACGTTGTTTTAACATAATTTCCTCCCATTTCTGTGCATAATCTGAAAAATATTAAGATTATATATTTCTTACAGCAATATACTTAATAATGATTACTGCATTTTTAAATAATTGAATTTATTATATGATATTGAAATAATATTTAAGGTATATTTTAAATAATAATATATTATTAACAATTTCTGAATAATTGATAAAAAAATAGAGGTAAAACATATAAATTATGTATTACAAACAGTTTCATTTAATAAATTGCAAATATTTTCCTTATTTCATCTTTGTGTTCGATATACTTAATTATACGTACTGTGTACGATGAAATTTTATATGATTATAATTTTATTTGTGGATTTGAACAGTTAGTGTATGTTGGAAACTGTTTTATTTCCTGGCTCGAACTGCCAATGTTTCGATAGCTTTAATTTACCGTCCGCCCTAGCGAGTGTTTGGGAAGGAGTTAAGTGGAAGGGCTGTAGAGTACAGTGTGTGCTTCTTTGATAAATATGGTTTATTATTAAAGTTTATTTACAATTATATTATTGATGTGTTGAATTTATGCGATGGAAGGTATATCCTATGTTTAATCACCAAGATGCACCAAGCTGTTGCTTGAACCTGTTCCTTTTTTTGTCAGTGCTATAAAATATCTGGCAAGTAACATCGTAACATTTGTATTTGGATTCCAAAACTTCGCTTGCTCAAAATTCTCACGCATTAGTGTCATAAAACATCTGGAAAAACAATACCATAACCACGGGAAAACCTATAGTTTTGACATTTGCGTTTTCGTTCCGCTCGGCAACTACATCAAGCATTACTGCAAGCCGACCTTCCTTCCACTTCCCGCTGTCACCAGATGTGGCTCATCATGAAGACCCAGAGACGACTAGACGCTTAATTAACTCCGAAGCCAAAAGAGGCGCTGCCCTCGCATTTTAAGGGAGGAGTCTCAGATTGGAGAGAAAATAAGGGAAGGGGTTCAAGTAAAATTCATGGTCAGCAAATGTATTTAAGGAGCGCAATTTTCAATACTCATGTACTCTTGGTACTTAACTCTTGATACTTAACAGTCTCGATACTTAACCCCTATCACTCGTGATATTTATCTGTCTTGTTATTTACTCTCCATAGTTTTCAGTTAGTAATATTTTCGTGATATTACTCTTTTCGAAGTGTCTCTGGGTCTTTGATATCAATTGCTTATTAGTATTTTTGATATCACTATTTTAGTAATACTCTCTCCATATATTAAACCCTTGAGACATTTCATACTCAGTTAAGTTTTTAGTGAAAGTCTATTTAGCGCTATTTCGGGAACGATTTACACTTCTTCGGATTGTCCATTAACACTGTTACTGGAACAGTAGTTACTGCCCTGGAAGAACCACGACATAAACCCGTATGTCCACTAACGCAGTTGGCCTTTGAGTTGTCAACGGCATCAAATTGTATCGGTCGAACTGGCCTTGATAAAACAAGTCGGAACGACGGCCCCATAATCATGAAAACCCAGAGGGAGCGAGGTGCAAAAAATTTAAAAAGCCTGGTTCTGTGCTTTTGTGTGTTTCGCTGCATCAGAGTTAAATCTCGAAGTTGTCTCAGACTATACAACTGACAGCTTCATTTCCGCATACAAAAGATTCACTGCTCGCCGAGGAAATGCAAAAGCATTATACTCGGACTGTAGTACGACCTTCACTTGGGCTGATGCCGCCTTAAAAAGACTGTTCATTCAAGATACCCATGAACATCATCAAATTTTTAAATATTATGGTGCAAGATACAACTCATTGGGAATTCAATCCACCCGCAACGCCCCATATGGGAGGCAAATGGGAAACCGTTGTAAAATCAGTAAAACACCACCTAAGACGCACCATTGGAGAAACTATGCTGATCTTTGAAGAGCCTACTACCTTACTTGCTAAAATCGAGGTAATCCTCAATTCAACGCCTTTAGAGCCAATGAGAGATGACCCGAACATATTGCGGCACTTACCCCAGGATATTTCCTCATAGTGAGCCCGCTCACAGCTCTTCCAGAACCATTACTCAAGAATTTGTTCATGTCAAGATTACGTCGTTGGAAATTCATTCAACAACATGTATAACAAGTTTGATCACAATGGGCAGCTCACTATTTGCAACGCAACAATCAATTTCAAAATGGCTTCATCCACGAAATGATATCAAAATTGGCTCATTGGTACTCATTACCGATGAACGTTTGGTTCCCCTCCTTGCAAGTGACCCCTCGCTCGAGTAATCGAAATGTATCCCGGTAAGGATAGGACTGACCAGAGTAATAGCATTAAAGACCACTTCTACCACCATAGTAATACCAATACATAAACTTGCAGTACTACCAATCCCTGAAAATAAAAAATAATCAACAAAATTGATGATGGCGGACGATATGTCCGGAATTGGAGCATTTATCCAAAGCCTTCGGTTCTCGGAAAGTTTAAAAGCCATCTAGCTCTCGAATGTTTACATTTACTTTCATAGTATTCTCGAATGTCCTACAAGGCTCTTAGCTTTCGCGTCTTAGCAACGTCGTTTGAATTCTCGAATTTTCCAAGCCTTTGCTTTCGCAGAATTCTCGAATAGCCGAAAAAGTCTGAAAAATAGGCACTTGAGAAATAATATAACCATTTTATATTATAATCCACAAGGCAATCTCTGATAACGTTTTCTTTTACTAGTTTTTTCATTCTGAAGCGATCATTATAGTTTTACTATGTTGCAAAATTTTTATTAAACTATTGTTCGGGATTGAAGCAGTCCCATGAATTTCAAACAAAAGAAAGGCCATTTACGCAGCCCGGCGTACCGCATGTGCGCCTAGACTGACCGCGCGTGCAGCAAGGCTGGCCTCCACGTGCGCCTAGGCTGATCCGCACGTGCGGACCGAGGCGGGCACTCGAGAAAATGTTTACAAACAAAACTCGGCAAGTCCGAGCAAGTTTACGATTTGAAATATTATTTACTGCCAGCACTCACAAAAAAGGGACGCCTTCGAAACTTCTAGAAGCTTCGTTTTCTCACGCCAAAGGAAAATTTCTGGAAGGGACACGCATCGACACTGTTGCCGGCGCTGAAGACGCCGCATGCACATTTAA